TGCCAGTGGCATCCAGTGATTCAAAGATGCAACTCGCAACGCCATGAAATGTTGTGAGTTTTCTCACAGTGACCAACACGACCTCGCCCACAATCAATCGTGGAATCACATCGCTCGGAGCTGGGTTCGCGCGGAACTGGATGTCGAAAATCATCATTCTGACGATGAACGCTTCGCGCTCCGTTTGGCTGAGCAGGCGTAGTCTTGATATTGTTTGTTCTGTCGCTGCCATATCCGTCAAGCTCACTCTCGTTCCATATTGCGTGTTGGGTTCGTTGAACCTGAAGGCAGGTTTCACGTCGAAGACTCTCATGCGCAGTTGACGATGGAGGGCTGGAGATGGTAATGGGTTCACGGCTGCCATGAATTCATGTCGAGTGGTTATGGCAGGCATGCGCAAGTGGCGCTCAAGTTGAACGTTGATGTCGTCGTCCATGGATGCCGTTGGCTTGGGGCCAAGTTACAAAATGACTTTCGAAGTCGTGTGCTGGCTGTGATCGATGAACTTGCGACGTGTGCATAGCTGCTGGTGGTTTTTAACCGCCCTAACGTTCGGTCGTTGTGAATTGCCTCCATTTTTAGCGATTTCATACGTCGAATCGTAGCCGACGAAGAGTTTTGTCGCGCAAGTGAATTTCGGGGTGCGTCGTGTCTCGTAGTTGTATATCGAGGTTAGTATACCATCGGTGTTCTTTAGTTCGTTATTAACTGCCTCATTATATTATTTTCACAGTTGAGTCGTAGCCGAGGTTGACAAAAGCTTCGATTCATGGTTAGTATACCATGCACTATTGACGCTTGGAGCTTCTCGATTAGTATACCATACACTATTGAGGCTTGGAGCTTCTCGATTAGTATACCATACACTATTGACGCTTGGATCTTCTCGTAAATGATATAACTATACTGAGATCCTTCAATGTCCTATGGAGCTGTCATATGTGAAGTGGTATTTCTGCAATTGTTGTGCAACACAATGACTGTGATACGTAGTGCTACTCGCGTACAGTGGTATATCCCACAGTTTTCATAGACTGTGGGATTTACACAGTATATCTATAATGGTATGTCCCACGTGTAGGACATGGGATATTCCACTACATGGGACTTATGTGGTATACCTATAGTGGTATGCCCCATGCCCCACACTTGTCATACACTGTGGGACTATATATATAGTGGTATATCCCACGTCCTACACTTGTCATAGATCCTGGGACTTATGTGGTATACCTATAGTGGTATGCCCCATGTCCTACACTTGTCATACACTGTGGGACTTATGTTTAGTGGTACGTCCCACGGCTCACACACTTGTCATAAAGTGTGGGATTGTTGCTTGATACGTGACAATCATATACCTCACCTACTTTTGTCATTATGTACTTTTGCCACACCTGTGGGATTATAGCTTGATACGTGACAATCATATACTTAAGCTATTTTTGTCATTATGTACTTTTGC